ATTGAAATGCTCCCACAAATGGCACTACAACATGTAAAAAAATAATATAAGCTCTGGCGGACTTGGTTCTATAGTAGGTCTTAAAGGGTTAAATAAATATCGTCAAATAATCGAGATCTCAATTCCAGTGAAAATAATCGTGATTATCATTTTTGCCATAATCGAGCAGCCCTAATTAAGTGGTTTCTAATACTTACAGGTTGTTGGCAAAATATCTAACTTTAGGGCTTGTCTGTGGGCTGCATGCTGTTTAGCCACTTGTATTGTTATCGAACACGAGTGTAAAGCTCCTGGCTGTATTTTGTGCTTATTTTCTGAATAGCTACTTATCAATAGTGCAGATCCATATTGCAGCTTGAGACTCAGAAGGTGTCCAATAAGCTTTACCAGTGAGACATGCTCCCTGCGAACCTTAATCAATAATCCCTGTTGGACATTAATTTTTCTGTTTCCTCTCCCATTACCGTCTCACTGTAATATAGTTAGCCCATGGAACTAACTATTGATTATTTTTATATTATTTATCTCCAACCAGTTAGACTGGATAGAGATGTGGAGACAAGTCAATGTTAATGTTTACCGCGTGTTCCCTCGCAGGCCTACGACGACGGATACGGTGGAGAGTATGATGATGAGAGTTATGAAGCCTATGAAGATAACTACAGCAATCAGTCAAAGAGGTAACGTTAACACACACACAGCAGGAAAGGCTTTTTCAACTTTTCTCAGTTACCATCCATCTGTTGTTACAATACAGAATGTTTAAGGTCCACTGTGACCAGCTGGGCCATCACAGGTGTACATTAGAGCAAGAAATCCCCAAACCAACAATGACTTGATCCTAACAGCAAAACTACAGTATGTGTGTATACTAAAGCCTGATAAAAGTGTGCCAGAGACGTCTGTTGTCTGTTAAAAACACATCAGTGAGCAACTTGAGCAACATGGGCACAGTAGTTAATCCCACATACACCATCATGCTGCTGTAAATATTTAGTGATGCACTAAATCCGCAGCTGAGTCCCCAACAAATGGAGTAAAATTTGTTCAAATTTGCCCAGCTTTTCTAGGAATAACTTAGCCCTTCTGTGGTTGAAGATATGTTTATGACCACTTTTTAAAGATCTGTCTCTTCATTAAGAACTAATAGATAAGGGCTGAGTGACACAGACAGTGGAGAGGACTACTGAGAGATTTTGTAAAAAAGTGTTTGGTCTTGTTGATAATAGAACTGCAGTCCTTTCCCCCCCAAAGAAATCACATTTATTCCTTATTTGACAAAAAAGAAAAGTCGTCTGCAGCTTATTATTTTTTTCTTTGACCCGTGTTTTCGCTTCATCTGCTTTCAGCATTTCAGACTATTATGAATATGGGCAGGGAACCAGTGATGAATCCTACAACAACTATGGTAAGTAGAGCTTATTTTATACCGACAAGAACAGAAATGAGTCACTGTCTTTTTCATGTATCCTCACTTTTCAGTACTGATACTCACTATAAATTGTTGAATCCAGCTAAAATGCAACACAACCCCATTATTAAAAATGAGAAAATGGGTTGATTGTTTGATTAGTCGATTCATAAAAATGATTTGGCAGCTGGATGGCTGATTAAATGGTGAAGTCCTTTTTCACCTTGCACTGTGCTCTGCAGTTCCAGGTTCTCAGCTGTAAGAATGTGTTGATTTTCTTTGATCCTGATTTTCTTTAGTTTGTACATCGACCGTTTTTTGGCATCCAGGTCTGAAATCTCGAGTTTTTACAGCTTATATTTCTCCAATCATCATGGGTTAAGGTAATAAAATACACCATTTAATATGTAATGCTTCAAGGTCATAGGTCAAAAATCAGGGTCATTCGGGAAATTAGGAAAAAGCTTTAGTTTCCCCTGGAACATCTCAAAAATTTATTTGGGGGCAATAATATATCTTTTTCTGAGCTCTTTAAAACATTATTTTTAAGTAAAGACATTTTATGAATACACAATGACACAAAAGAATTAATATTCTACACCAGGGTTTTAATAGTTTTGCAATTTTCATTAGTTTTTATTTTTATTTAGTTTTGACTTCAGATTTTCAATTTTATATCAGTTTTAATTAGTTTTTACCAATTGTTTGCTAGTTTAGTTTTTATTTTTTTGAAAATCCTTAGTTTCAGTTTAGTTTTGATTAGTTTCAGTTATAGTTTTAGTTGTTTGCAATAATTAAGTGCAACAAAATCCCAGTTTCATCATATCAGTCATGCTCTTCTGCTTATCCTTGGGTATGTTGCTATTCCAGCTACCATACCCTGCATCCTGGACAGGTCGCCTGTCTGTCGCAGGGCTAACACGCCGAGACAGACAACTCACATTCCCACCTATGGGTTCTTTAAATAAATAAATAAATAAATAAAGGCAGATGAACAACCATTGATACCAGGCAACTATAAAATGTATAACTTGGCCCCAATGAGACTATTAACTCTTGCAGCACCGGGTGTTTATAATTTTGGTTCAAGTGAATTGATAAACTTTTTGAAGGCAATTGACTCACACAGTTATGTAGACATCCCAGTCCTGTTGTCTCGGGATGCATCACGCTGCCTTGCCTGGGGTTAGCGTCTGTTTCTGGGGATGAGGGTTGAGTGTGCTCTTACCTTCTCAAGGTAAGCTAGGTTAGCCTTCTTGTGTGAGCTTTTCAAGTGCACTTTAAAGTTTGTGGGATTTTCTTCCCTTTAGAAATGTCCCTCATAATTTGTCTCTTTCCACTACAAGACACTTGCTTTATCCAAAACACAGTCATATTCAAAGTAATCCCAAATTGGACTCTGGCGCTTTCGCCCGACCAGAGATGGGCAGTAACGCGTTACTGTAATCCGATTACTTTTTTCAAGTAATGAGTAAAGTAAGGGATTACTATTGCAAAAACGGTAATTAGATTACCGTTACTTTCCCGTAGGAACGCTGCGTTACTGCGTTACTAAAACCTTGATTTTTTTTTGCGAGAATGTCTCATGACAATGACGTAAGTGAGTGCGATGTTCGTGACAACAGCTGTATGCAGATCAACAATGGATAATATATCGAGTGCGGGAGAGAGTATGAGCGTGCAGCGTTTAAAGCGTGGCAGCACTGACCTTATTTTGAGTTTGATTTCATAAAAAGTGACAAAAACATTAGTGTCCGTTGTGCGTGGGAAGAAAACTTCTTTTTACAGCAAAAAAAAACCCCTAAACTTCCAAGCAAGCACCGAGTGCGCAACGACGTGATGGGAAATTCACAGAGAAACTCGCGGATTCTTCCACTGACCGCTGCGGCACATCTGCACCAGGGTATACCTCCGCCTACCCCACTCCTGCTTTACAGGTGAAAATAGAGCAACAGGACTGCTAGTCTTTGATTTTATTTATTTTCTGCTGTGTTTTACTTGCATCTATTTGAAAGAGTGAGTGTAAACACACACACACAAAAAAAAAATTATGTGCTGGAATGTGCAGAAAATAGGTTTAAATATTAAACAAATTTCTTCCAGTCAGAGAATGTTGCATATAATAAATTTTTGCTTGATGCATAAAGTTAAAAGATTAAAACTAATAAAACAAGTTTTAAAAAGGGACCTTTCCATTTGATTACATTTTGTATGATGGATTATGTAGAAAAAGTAGAATTGGGCTGAAAGATCTATCGCTTTATCACCTATTCAGGTTGTAAATCGTGTTTTTAAAAAGTAACTAAGTAATTAATTACTTTTAAAAATAAGTAATCAGTAAAGTAACAGGATTATTTTTTGGGGGAAGTAATCAGTAATTAGTTACTGATTACTTTTTTCAAGTAACTTGACCAACACTGCTCCCGACTTTCCCTGACATGATTCTGCGCGTGGACGGAGCAACAACACAGACGACTCGACTAACGTACTGGCCACCTGCTGGCATAATTAGACAGCAAGAAATAAATCTGGAAACTAAACTTCATTTTCACCCTTGACTATTGTATGACACGCACACATCAATGAAAACTAAACACATTTTTGCTATAAATTCAGTTAATTTTAGTTAGTTTTGTGAACACTCATTACAGTTTTAGTTAGTTTTCCTTTTTTTGTTTTTATTTTTATTTCCGTTAACGAAAATGTTTTTTCACTTCTAGTTTTCGTTATTTCGTTAGTTTTCATTAACGATAATAACCTTGTTCTACACTACATTTCTATATTAGCAATGCTGGCATCAGCACAAGTAATCTGTGAAAATAACTCTGTCATTATTCAGGATTTCAATATTACCAATACTGACATTAGCATAAAACATAAATGTTTTAGTATAGCCCTTGCCCTTTGGGGGGAGTTGTGCTGTCTGATTGCACTTGTTTAATAAGACATGATGCATATTTCTGTTAATTACACTCTCTTTTAGACTCAAATAGATGATAAACCAGAGTATGCTTCAGGGCTTGGCTAACTTTTCACTGAAAAGTTGCCACTATAAATGGATTCAGTGTTCATTGTTTTTCAGCCAGCTCTCATGTCTGTTATCAAAAAACTACGATGGCGACATCAGAATACAAAACCACAGATAACCACAACCATAATCTACAGATGTGATCAGAAGGGCTGAATGACACAGACAGTGTTGGGCATTTGTTTCATGGTAATTTGGGCTCTTTGTGACTTCTTCAAACTTTTCTTTTTCCAGGATGGAATGATTATACAGCATACATATTTAATGAGTTTAAAAAGAAAGAATTGGGTCCACAGGTTTGAATTTATTTTGGATTTTCTGTGATCCACACAGGATCAAAAGAGTACATACAGGCTTAAATGTATACCATATCCCCACTGATATTTGGCTAACTGTCCATCAATAAGTTATACCTCAAACAGACACTTTTGGTAGCCATCATCACTATTTAGGCATAATTGTGGCTGGATAGTTTACCGCTCTTCTTAACAGAATTGATAATGGTCTTTTAAATTGGCTGGTGTCCTGGCATTGAGCCGGCTTTTAAGCACAGGCGAAGGTTGGAGCTTTGGGAAGTCCATTAAGTAAGCTTTATGTTGGCCTAATTTATCCATTTCAGAATCAATTTGTTCTGTTTTTGGGATCATTCGACTGTTTCCACAATTCAGCTGCCTAGTTGTTGATCAAAGATATTAATTTGTAGATAGAGGGGGTAGTTCCAATACTTCTTTGCATCCTCCTTGTCATGTACCAGTACCAGTGGCAGCAAAACAGCCAGACTATGATGCTACCACCAACATGCTTGAAAGTTCCTCCTGTCATTTTGACTAAATAACTCAATCTTTGTCTTGTCTAAAGACAAAACTTCTCCAGACAGCATTTGACTTTTCGATGTGCTCTCTCTTCCCATGGCAATGTCAAACTCACAATACAGTGATGCTGGTGTTTCAGCAGTTTGCAGTTTATGGAGGTTAGTAGATTTATTGATCCTGAACCTTTTCTTTTCATTTAAAGTTGGGTTGGTAAAGTAGTGACACACCCTAATTGTAAACACTTACACATCAAAATTACGTACAATTGTTTCAATTGATGATCTTGGCCCTGAGAGATTTTTCCAACTTGTGTAAATTGTAGAACCTTGAGCACCACTTATTAAAAGATTTAAGTAAGTGTATGTATATATTTGAGCCTGTAATTTTGACTCTGTGTGGATAAGAGAAAATCTACACAGAGTCAAAAATAAATTCAAACTTGTGAACACAAGTCTTTCTTTTGTAAAGTTATTAAAGATCTATGCTGTTCAATTATTACACCTCGGATAAAGAGAAGTTCAAAGAATTCAGTAAAATCCCAAAATTACCATGACATTCATGCCCATGATGAGTGTATACAAGCTGCTGACCACTACTGTAGTATTTTGCTATCGATATAAAGTGAACACTTTTGTATTTTTCACTGTTGTTCACATAAAAACAAATATATTTTGGTTCTTCTGATTTTTTTGTTTGTTTTTTTATTGTTTAAATAATTGAAGCATTACGTAAAAATGAAGATATTGGTTAGATGCAGCCCTAAAGACTCTTTAGAAGAGTTTAATATTGTGGCGACCCACTAGAGGGCTCCACTCACACCCAAGCTGGGAGGAAGGGTTCTGCTGCTGTGTTATATCCCCACAGTCGGACCCCGGTATTCGCCCGCGCATGTCGCCTCAACCCCATGAAACTGTCCGTCGCTCGGGAGGAGTTCGCGGCTATGGAGCACCTGGGCATTGTGCAACGCTTGAACAGCGCCTGGGCCTCTCCACTTCACATGGTGCCCAAGCCAGATGGGCGGTGGCAACCTTGTGGGGATTTAAAATACGGGGATTTAAATAACATTACAGAGAACAACCGTTACCCGATTCCCCACATCCAGGATTTTTCCGCCCATCTTGCCGGGACCTCGATTTGGTGCAGGGATATCACCAAGTGCCAGTGCACGCTGAGGATGTTCTGAAAACCACTGTCATCACCCCCTTTGGTTTGTTCGAGTTTTTGCGCATGCCGTTTGGGTTGAAAGGTGCCGCCCAGACCTTTCAGCAACTTATGGACTCTGTTTTGCGCGGGCTACCTTTCGTTTTCGTCTGTCTGGATGACATATTAGTGGCCAGCACGAATCCTGATCATGAACCCTTCGAAGTGCCAGTTTGGTTTACCGGTCCTGGATTTCCTGGGGCACCACATCTCCGATGGTAGCGTGGTCCCGTTGCCAGACAAGGTGCAAGCCGTCGCAGCTTTTCCGCGTCCCGCCTCGGTTAAAGCATTGAAGGAGTACCCGTTGACTGGTCCCCTGACCGCCTCCGTGTGTTTTCCGCGGCGAAGTCCGGCATCTGGCAGCCCCTCACCTTTTTCAGTCGTTTACTACAGACATTCAGCACGTGGCTAGTAAGCGTTTTGGTCCCCCCGCTGACATTACCTCGGACAGAGGCCCTCGGTTTGTGTCAGAACTTTGGTCTGCGATGGAAGGTCCACCGCACCACGGCATACCACCCGCAGGCTAACGGGATGTGCGAGCGGTTTCACTAGTCACTCAAGGCTGCGCTCCATGCTTCTTTAACGAGTGGTAACTGGGTCGACCGTCTGAGGCCCCTTTTCTGTCACTGGCCCGGTGCACCACTGCATGCCAGATGTTTTTGTTCAGCAGTCGTTGGAATCTTCTCCTTTCATTTTTGTTTGGCGTGACGCCCATCAACCCCCCTTGCGTCCGCTTTACGACAGCCCGTTTCGGGTTATTGCATCAGGTCCCAAGCATTTTGTTTTGGATTTGGGGGACGGTAGGAGGTAGTTTCAGTGAACCGCCTTAAGCCTGCACACGTTCTGCAGAATGCTCCTGTGGTGCTGGCCCATGCCCCCTGCCGCGACCGCCCACCTGCTGCCGGGACGTTGGACTCTGATCCTCCCTCTGAGATCGCTCCGTGCCCGCCGGTGCTCGTCCGGCCAGCAGAGGGTTCGGCATGTCTTTCCTGGCCTGGTGGACCCACAGCCAGTTCTCGGACTCCCCATTTCAGCCGTTCTGGACGTTTGATTAAGCCCCGGGTCCTGGATTGTTTGGGTGTTCAGGGGGGACATGTGTGGCGACCCATTAGAGGGCTCCACTCACACCCAAGCTGGGAGGAAGGGTTCTGCTGTGTTTGGGCGCAATATGCTCAGTTTATGTTTGGAGGTGAATAAAGTTGGAGTGTAAAACTAGAGCTCCTGTGTCGTGTGTCACATGCCTCCATAGTGTCATATTTTTATATGATATCTAGCATCAGTGATTTTTTGGTCAGCACTATCCATCATTCTGTATTTTGAGAAGTTTTCACTAAAGACAGTTCCCACTAAAGTATTAGTATTACTAAAGGTAATACCCTACATTCATGGGCAAATAGTAGAATAGAAAGAAAACATTCTCAAAAATCCTTTGATTTGATTTAAAGTAAATCCTGACAAGAAAAAAATGTGTTGACCACACTTTCCTGGCTGACACTGCTGCACTGCTATACAAAAAAAAATTCACAGCCGAGAAAGAAAAAGAAAACTGTGGTTTCGGCCCACTTGCAATCATCTTCACCCAGGGAGCCACTTCTGTGTGCATCAAATTCCTCCTACCTTCCTGGCTCCTCGCTGCATTTGGCCAGAGGAGTAAATGTGCCAGTGGAAGCTCATGGGGCTAACCAGTGCCTATTGCAGAGGTGGACTGTTTTGCCTTTTGGGCATGTGCCTTTAAAGGCTTATTCCAGAAAGCTGTTACTATCGGCTGACTAACCTTTGCTGTGCCCAAAAACAAACTCGCAAAAAAAGAAGAAAAAAACGCCGGTTTGCAATTTCCAAATCAGCACCTGCTCCAAATTTGATAAAGGAGTCTCTGGATTTCAACTAAAAACATTAAGAAACATCTAAAACTGCTATTTAAATAAAATTGCATAAATCACCAGAAGTCGAGTTACAACCTTGTCACATGACAACAGCGATAAGCCGGATGCCACAGCAGGTCTGCGGGCTCATTCATTTTCAGCACAATGAGTTGTGCACTGGGGTGTTGAGGTCAGACCAAACCTAAACCAACGGGGCAATGATTTGATTTTCTGCTTCATAAACACTTTCTTATTTGGGAGCGGTGCGTTGTGCCTCGCAGCAGAGGTGGGCATCTTTATGTAATTTGGCTCTAAGGAAGGAGCTGCTGACAGTCGAATCTCAGTGTTGGTCCGTCAGAGGGCAAAGAGCTCATGAAATTAATTTTGTGTGAAGAGAAGCCCCCATAGTACCTGGGATATAATTTGCTTGCTTAAATTTTCTTGTCTTTGGTAAAATAGATTTAGGAGAGGCTAGAGAAGAGAGACAGTTTGCCTTTGTGATATGACGTTTCCGTTGCGAATGCAGCAGCTTTCTGCAATGCGTTTTTAACTCTTTTTTTCACCGTTTGTTTGCTTTAATCTGCAGAGGAGGAGTGGGGAACTACCCGAGCCAGTCTCAAAGCCCCTGTTTTACGGCTGACGCGAGGAGGCTACAGAAAACATCCTTATGGCAGATACTAAAGGTGGTCCAGACCTCCAATTCTCAGCTATTTATATCTATTTTTTAAATCCATTATAAATGTTGTAACAGGTATTTTATTTTTGGCCCATCTTCTTCAGAAAGTAATAAGAAAATCCCCACCCCCACCCCCATAAAGCGCATAAAGCCACAATTATTGCAGTATACTGATGTTTGAGCCTTTTTTTTTAAACAAAAGAGACACTTAACAGTTCTCATCCATATGCAGGAAGGTTGTTCTTGGCTGTTTAAATGCCCTTCATTCCAGCTCCCTCTGCCCTAAAACATTAATCTGCAGATTTATTCTTGTGGGATTTGCGTGACTAGTTGGTTTCCATTTAGTGTCTTTAATGTAGTGATTACTAAGGTTTAATAGCCAACCCCTGTTCACTGTGTTAAAGCAGGCAATCATAGAGCCATAATTTGACTTAGAGAGCCTATCAAAACTCTGCTGCGTCTCTCTACTTGCTTTAATTGCTAAGGAGACTTCGGTGCCCCACATAACAGAGGCATTTTCGTGGTGTTGCGAAACATCCAGTGATGCCATGTCCATTTTTATCCACCGTGACACACTACTAGATGTGGAAAACAAGCAAAACTTTTTCTCATTTTAGTTGTGCCTGTTCTTCAAATACGAGTTTGTCTAGGGGGAAATTAGTTTTGCCCTCTTATGCGAGTATTTTTTTTTAAGTTATTCAAACCCTATTGGCACTTTTTTCCTAATTTGGAAAACGGCCCACAAAATCCAGCTTAGCTCTTTGTCAGTGACTTTACAGGCACGATGAGTCTTTAACCAGCCACAGCTACGGAGAAAATGTGTTCACTTTAAATTTGAAAAAGTCTTTTTTTTTTTTTAAACTTCAACCTTTCTCCAGAGTTCACTGATTGGTGGCTGCTGTCTGGTTTAAATTACTTCATGGAGAAATTCAAACTGATTTCTTCAAGGCACTTTTTTGATGATTTGGTTTAGTAAAAATAAAAACTGTTGCTTTTCTCTCACTTTATCTGAACAGAACTAATCTGCAACTTTAATTTGATTTGCAAAAACTATAACTAACCAACGGCAAGTTTAAACACTCCCCTCAACACAAATAACATTAAATGCAACAAATGGAAACCTATCCTTGAAGAAGAGTTGAAGATCTGAGTGCAGAGTGTCTAAATGACCTAAAATTTTCTTCTAAAAAAATGTTTAATGTTGAAATATCAGGAAAATTACCCTAGGCCATGTTGTGACTTTAAATGATACAAAATGATGTGAGATCATGATCGTGCAAAACACAGTTTTGGTTGAAAGCAATGTACAGTGTGTAATTTCTAATGCGTGCTTTGTTCTGTGTGTAATCTGTATTTGTACATAAGGCATTTAATAAAAACAGCATAAACCTCCAACACAGTGTGTAAGACTTTCTAAATAGCAGCCTGTGAAGCATTAAATTGCTATTGTTCTGCAGTTTGTTAACGCGATACGTGACGCAATTCAAGCTTCTTGTTTCTAAAACCTAACATCTGCTTGCAGGTAACGGCTAACTCGTTTCATAAAGAAAACCCACCAACCTGTCCCAAATGAATCATTTGTAAAACACCGTATGTTATCCTTGAATATCTGATCACTTTCTTAAGAAACTAATAAATTTCTGTTCTTAATTCATTCTCTGAAGTTTTACATCATTAAACAGACACTGATTGACTCTGATATGGCGTTTAAAGAGGTAAGAAGTCCTCATATATTATCATAATAATGCCTTAAAAATTCTCAGCATTTGGAGCTTAAAGAAAAGCATGTGGGCAATACGGGATCTAGATGCTGGTATTTACCTTCTGATTGAATGTCATTGCTGAGGGGGGAAAACAACGGCCTCAGCAACTCATCAATGTCTCTGCTAACGCCTTTCTGCATTTCTGTCATTTAACCTGAGAAACCTGCTCTGTAACTTTCCGTTCTTTAAATATCGAAGCTGAGATCTATTTAGCAATTTGAATTCTCTTTTGTGATTAGTACACCTGAAGCCTGACTCTCATTAAGAGTGTAGATCACGGGACTCAAAGGAAGACTAAACACTAAGCAGGTAACCCTAATGATAATCCTAATCTAACCTCCACTTAAAAAAAAGTAAACCTGCCCGTTTTAACCCCAAATAAATGCACTGTTGAATTAAAATCCCTTCCCATCTCTAACTAGATCCACAAGGAATTCAGCTGTTATAAAAGAGAGAATAAATTTTAATAAAAAGACACTTAAAATATTGTTCGGCAAACTAAACACCACATCGGTGGTATAAAAGTAATTCTAATAAAATGTCACTTTTATAATACCTTGAATTGGTTTACTTTTTTCACAGTGATGGAATGTAACAAGGCTTGTGTGTAAATATTGCATGCATGCATTCTATACTTGTGGACTGGTGATGATGCATAGGACCGGTTCATTCTTTATAACTCTGATTTGTTCTTCTCCGTAGATAAGGAAACACACCGCGGTGTGTTTTGGTCAAAGAGGAGAGGAATGTAATAGGTGAGTGGAGACACTGTCACGACCTCAGTTGCAGAAATAATCAGTGATTCACACTTTTAACATGTAAATGGGGCATAATTGGGAGAGGATTAGAAAGTTTCTTCACTGGATTCCTTTCGCACATTCAGCAAAAACTCCAAATGCTAACTTGAAATCATAGGTGACACATTAAAACCACCTGAAAACTCATATATGTTGATGTCTGAATGTTCATTTTAATGTTAGCTCACTATCCACAGTATTATAAACCACATTATGTTTGTTTATATTTCTATGATTAAGAGCAATATTTTCTTGCGGCTGGCTGTGTCACACTTGAGGGATTGAAATATAATTTCCATCTCGTGGAATATTCTGATAGATTCTCTATTAATGCTCGTTTACATTAGCTGTAAGTGTGAGAGCTTTCACAGGTCTGACAGCTCATTAAGAACACAATAAAGCACAGACATGCAATTAAAATAATGGAAACAAAAGATGTATAGGAAGCAGAATCTAACTAAAACTGCAATATAATTAGAAATAATTAATCATCTGATTAGAAGAATGGTAGAGTACTGACTGTATGAGAATGGCTCAGAGTGAAGTATTTGCGCTGCGCAAGGCGAGATGTTAAGGTCAATTGTATGTGCAGAAATGAGGGGGGAGGTTTTGGAGTTGCAGAAAGCAACGTGTGTGTTATTGCCAAGATTATATGCTGTCAGTCTTGCGTGCTTTTGTCTCAGCTGGACCCGTTATTGCACATTTCCTTTCTGCTGTTCAGTAATGCTCTTATTGTATCTCTGTGTGCATTTTTCACTTCAGTTTTTGTTTTATTACTCTGCAAATACAGTTCCGCTTAATCCCTATGGTCAGATACCTGCTGACTTATTCATAACTCGTCCACTTCTATTGACTTTTTTCAATAGAAGGGTGCGTTTTGTAACACCCGTGCATGTCATGCATAACAAGATATATGCACCTTGTGAGATGTAGCATCAGTAGTTGTTTATATTAGTGCTGAATCGTTGAGAATAGAATCGAGAGTTTTCACCTCTCACACTACAATCATTTTTGATTATGCATTTCCACAATAATACACACACAGCTTATTACAGCTGTAGCATATACTAATTAATAACATTGCTTTATCTAAGACCTTCATCGCAACAGTTGCACATACCGTTATGAATGTCATTCATTCATCCACCCATCCAAGGGCAAAAGTCCCCACTGGGAAAAAATACTGCTTTTAATCAAGGACAAAAACTGTTTCTATTAGTCTCTAATTCTTTTTATTATTATTATTATTATTATTATACCCAACCAGTTTATTACGTACACCTTTTCAACTGCTCATTAACACAAATATCTAATCACAGCCAAATGGCAGATACCCAGTGCATTTAGGTGTTTAAGCATGGTCAAGAACCTGCTGAACACAAGCATGTCGAGGGTTTAAATGGTCCGGTAAATAGAAAATATCCAATGAGCAGCACATCTCTGGGCGAAAATGCTCAGAGCCGATAGAAAGACTAGACTAACTTAAATAACCAAGTAACCGAATAACCAAGGTTTGCAGAAGAGCATCTCTTATTTTACAACATGTTAAACTTCAAAGCAGATGTGCTACAACAGCAGAAGACCACACTGGGTTCCTCGCCTGTCAGCAAAAAACAGGAAACTGAGGCTACAGTTCACTCAAAACTGGACAGTAAACAATGGTGAGACAAGTCTCGATTTGTGCTGTAACTTCCAGATGGAAGGGTCAGAATTTGGTGTAAACATGAATGGATCCGGTTACCTTGTATCATAGGTAATGGTATGGAGAATAGTTTCTTAGCACTCTTTGGGGACTTTAGTGCCAACTGGGCATTATTTAAACACCATAGCCTACCGGAGTATTGTTGCTGATCCCTTTATGACCACAGTGTACCCATCATCTGATGTGTCATGTCACAGAGCTCAAACTGGTTTCTTGAACAAGTCAATCAGTTCATTGTACCCACAATGCCCCCACATTTACTACATGTCAAAACAATAGAGCACCTTTGGGATGAGGTGGAATATGAGATTCACATTGTGGATGTGCATCTTTCCATTATGGACATATATATAACCTATAGACGGGGGTAAGAACTGCTTTTGAGCAAGCCTCTTCAAGAAGCCATTCAAACATACCTCACACTACCACACTGACATTGTCCTACATTTCTGACAAAAGTCATGTACTGTAAAATTAAGACACAATCATAATTGTTGCATTGTCATTGTTTACTCTTCTCCAGAGCAGAAGGAATTGAAAACGGCTCCTACAGACCTGAAGATTACACTTTGCCATCAAACAAGTTCAGGTCCTTCACTGGCCGGGGAAGTATCTAGGTAGGTACGCAGTGTCGTCCTCCATAAATCACCTGACAAAACAGCTATATAATGCCTCCCTAAGCAATAAGGTGAAAATGTTTACTTGGGGAACATATATAAAGAATGTTTGTGTCAACATAATGCAATATTCACAAGATGTCGTCAATTTGTACGTCACCAGTAGCGTTGTCACACAGGATATTTTCCAAGGTTATTTTCACAGTGCAATATTGTAGGCTAGCAGTGAGCCGCAGCCCTGTGCGTCTTATTAAATGAACCCACAGAAAACAGCATTTTCATTGAAAACATTTCAGCGATACTGCAGTTAATTAAAAGGATTACGTGTGATTGTTCAGTTTTTCTTTGAACAAGTGCAGGGGTTACATGACTGCTATGAATAAATTATAGATTAAATAGCTGAAGTTTGATTTTTATACTTGCAATATGAATCGAAAATAGTTTCAGTAGTACTTTTCCTCTTAAAACTGGCTCTCCTGTTTATCTGCACCTATGAGTTGGAAGTAATCATTGCTGCTGGAAACTCTGTGCATCTCAGTGATGTTCATGCCCCCTTTGCCAGAAGCGCTCTCGGATCCATTTTCATAACAAGCCTGCCGCCAGCTCAAGACCAGCCAAGAGATGAAATCCCAAAGCCTGCTATGGATGTTGATGTATTTCTTAAAATGAATGCCGCTAATAAAACTGCTCCCACACTGAGATTACAAAAGGGATCTTTTTAAATGAGTCATTATTCATTGTGACTTTTTTTTTCTTTGCACAAAGAATTAAACTCATGAAGACTTTGCAGTTGTCTTTGCATCTCCTCAGATGCCATTAGTCCACGCACGTATCCATGGTGATTCTTGTACATTGCGCAGACCTTTGCTGCAGCCTCAGGCACTATAAAAACCAGCAGCTGGTTTTTTCTCTCTTTTTTTTTTATTGCAAAA